CCTTGCGCGGCCCCGAGCTAGTCTTTTCCCTGGTGGTTGTCAGCCATGGCGCTGCGTTGTTCTCGGGACTTCCGCAGGTACGGGCGGAGCGCCATTAAAAATCACAGGCACCCGACGAGTTGCCTCGTCACGGGCGTGGCTTCGGGCGGTGGGGGAACGTTTTGCTTCTTCCGGCAGCGGGGGGTGTCGAGTTGGCGGGGGCGCCGTTGCAGCGCTCTTGCGGCCCTTTCCTCACACAGGCGGATTATCCTGCTTTGTCGACATGCGCTGAGCGTCTGGCTCAACACATTGGTGTCTGCACAGGAACTGCCGCGTTGCAGGGTGACGCCAGTTAAGGGGGGGGGGGGGGGGGGCTTGGTGCAGCAATCGGGCATGATATTGCGCCCTATTTGGTGCCTACGGTGTGGATGTGCGTGTTTTTTTTACATGCGCGCGATCGCAGAGCATCCCCGCGGATGGCGCGTGGCGGGGTCGAATGGGATTCGATCCCGAACGAGCAGTGAGTCTCGGGACTTTGTTTGAGCTAGCCCCAGTTCGCGTTGGGTGGTTTGTTTTTTTGTGAAGAAAGGAAGTGGAAAAACAATCCGTTGCTACTAGTGGCGTGCCGTTTGGGCATGTTTTAATTTATTAGCGACCGCTTTTGTGTTGTCGTGAAAAAGCTCCTCCCGTTGGATTCGAACCAACGACCTGTAGGTTAACAGCCTAACGCGCTGCCGACTGCGCCAGGGAGGACACGTGACGCTGTTATCGTAGATGACGAGTTAGAAATCATCGGAGCAATATTTAGGTCTTCTTTAGCAGGTTGTTGGTGGTTTTGTCTTTCACGGTGAGCGGTCAACCTTCTGTAGCTCAATTGGTAGAGCATGTGACTGTAGATTCGTAGCAGGTATCACAGGGTCGCTGGTTCGATTCCGGCCGGAAGGATTGCTTTTTCCTCCTTTCATTTTTTGCTCTCATCCCTCTACAAAGGGATTTTTGAGGAAGTTCTATGTGAACAAAAAAGAGCAGGCCACTGCGAGAATCGAACTCGCGACCCCCACTTTACGAGAGTGGTGCACTGCCACTGTGCTAAGCGGCCACCTGATTCCTTTCGGTCGTCTGGAAAGGTGCGTGATTTGCTTTAAGGTTTGAAGTTATTCTTTTCGAAGTTAATGATGATTCTAAAAATGCCACAGTGGAGCCTTCGTCTTTGGCGGGGGACATCCACAATCTGGAAATTCAACAGAGAAGATTAGCACTCTCCCTGCGCAAGGCTGATGTCAATCTTCGAGAGATATGGCTTTTCGTAATACAATGACTTGAGTTTGTTATGAAACGGTGAATTGAGTGTGATTCGCGTTGGCCGCTTGGTCTAGTGGTATGATTCCTGTTTCGGGTACAGGAGGTCACGGGTTCAATTCCCGTAGCGGCCCCTCGTTTTTCTTTTACTCGGTCATTGTTTTTTTATCTAGCTTGCTTAGCTGGTAAAGTGAAAAAGAAGAATAAAAAAAGAAAAAGTTAAGCATGGTCCGTCAACAGGCTCGTCAGAACAACGAGAAGACATATACGGATGTAGAGTGGCTCCGTAACGTTTCAAGGTCCCCATGTTTTGTGTTCTGTATGCTTGTTGCTGACGGACGTTAGCTCATTTAGTGCTGGGCCGGCTCTTTTTTTTCTTCCCATTTTTTTTCACTGCTTCGTCTTAATTGTGCTGCGTAGCTCGCGGCCGCCGCAAGGCGCAAGGACCCCGCAGGGATTCTTTCCCGTATCCTGTGGGGTTTCGCATGAAAGGTTCCCGTGCCCAATAAAGCGGGCGAAGCAGACGCGAGGGCGTGTGTGGGGTGAGGTGCTTCTCTGGAGGTTCGTCGCTCTCAGGTTATTTTTTCAGTTTTTTTTTGTGAAAATAACGGCCCGAAAGAGGAAGTTGGCGGAAACAACAACAACAAAAGAGGAAAGAAAGAGTGATCACTGAGGCCTACAAGGTCCACAATAGACGAGGGGGAGCAGTCACAGTTCACGCCAGAAGAGGTTGGGAAACTGGGTAGCCTGCGTAAGACCGCCGTCGTCGATTCATCATTCCTTCATCATAGCCTCCGTCAAGCCCAGATGCAGCTTGAAGCATTAGATCATGAAGAAACAGAATAAATGACAGGAATCATAATGACCTTGCACTTTTCACAGATGCTTTAAGCCTCTTGGTCAGTACTTCTTAAATGTCTATGAGTATCTTCAAACTCACGGGTACACTTGGTATTACCACTAGACTTTAGAATTATCGTAGATTATATCGGAATCTTACAACGATCAAACGCCTTTCGAGTGTTTACAAATGAGATTTCAATACTACTCTTTCGCAAGAATGACATTATCTCAAATCATACAATTTTGAAGAGTTTTTGTGATGTATTAAAAACTATTGGAATATATATTGTGAAATAAATTATCGAATATATTGGCGTAACTGTATCATAAGACATAGTGGATACAGGACGCGTAGAGAAACATCGAGCTACTGCGCGTATGGCGGCTCAATTAGTGGCTAGGATGCTTGTTTGTTTTATTCTGATCTCTTCACAAATTCACTGAGTACAATAAGCATAAAGAGTGATCTGCTTGAGACCTGTATGATCTTGAATGCTAGTTTGCAGCTATTAATAGCTCAGGCAAAGAGGATGTTAAAAACATCGTTAACATACTTCACAGTTCTCCAGGTTAAGTTACAAACTATGGAATGACTGAGTACATTTTTTTTTTATACTTGAAGAGCCTTTGCATCGCCTTATCGTTTTGGTATCTCTTTTTGTGTTATGGTAAAAAGAAGAAATAAATTATGTCTGACGAGTTGCATCCGCGGATAAAATTATTGAATGTAGTTGCCTAATTCTATTGCAAAAAGAAAGCAAGCCAATTCCTTTTTCATCACTATCAAATCTTATTGGAGTAATGAGACTGCTTTGTATAAATACATTAAACATGATTTGGGGTTTAACAAAACACCCCGGTCTTTTGCTTTGATGTAAAGCCTTGTCTGCTGTTGCTGCCTTGACAAAAAAGATACCTTCTCTTGAAAAAAATACTCATTATCTCTTACTTTCTTTTTTATCAATACATGCATCGTCAGTCTGAATATACTGTTTATAGAGTGCTTGCGTTTCTTTTTGCCTTAGCCCTGATCACACATATAGAGTCTCTCACATTTTTTTCTGATGCTTTCCATTGTTCCTTGGGTGTTTTTGGTCCCATTAACTTTGTGAATTGTGCAAAAATACATTTAATTGAGCTCGTTGATGCGATCCAAAGCATGGACATGAACTTTTTTTCTTACATCCTGGAATGTACACAATATTTAGATATTGATAATTTACCACCATGCATATAATCTTATTCTCAAATGGTGTATTGCATTTTTATTGGATAAGTTTTTTTGTTTATTTTGCTTTAAAGACTCTTTCCCCGACGTTGGATTTTCTTGAGGGCTTTCCGTTTTGACAAGAAGTTACTACCTTAGAGCAAGATGGGTTTTATTTGTTATTTGCGAAGCGTAACAATGTTGGTTTTGTATGTAATTTTTTAAAAAAGTTAAATGTGAGGAAAATAACCTCATAAAAGGGTGCTTTTATGATATTCAATACGCTTGCGAGCGATTGTCCCTCTAGTATGTACAACATTTGCTACGCTTTTATTATGAGTCCTATGCTACTTGATGATATCTTTTACAGGGCTTTTGTTTCTATTAAAGACATATTGCTATATATGGATCCCTTTCCTTTGGATGTATGGATTTCCTTGTTGAAGGAAGTCAAATTGTGCTTAGTAAGAAGCTGCCCATGTAAATTATTTGATATATATATTTTTGTTACACAAACTATTTTTTAACTATATTTGAATATTTTACATCTATATTACAAGGCATTATGCCATACAGTTACGCCTGCATTGCACAAGAAACGTGAACGTTTCTTGATGTGGCAACCATTACTGGATGACCTTGAAAGGTGGATTGCGTCGTAATTCTATCAGGTCTTACAAGTACGAAACATTATAGAACGACTCATTGTTTTTTTTTTTTTTTGGCACTTGTAGAAATATACAAGGAAGCATTTTTGGAGCTTGTCCTATTTGGAAGTCTCTCCTCTGTAATTGTTACTCACTTGCATTGCTCATACTCGTATACATTGAGTTGGATGGATATCTTGGCGGGGTATGCTTCTGTCTTCTTATTGTGAGTAGGTTGTACGCTGTTCATGCTCGTGTTTTATAACAATGGTGGGGCGGTTATGCGTTTGCACTCTCCTGACATGATACATGTTAAAGAGGAAAAAATTGTATTTTCAATGGTTACAGTTTTAACGAGAACTCTAGCCCTTAGTTTGGTTCCTGTTGGGGAAGAATTGTGTGGGTTTATTGAGCTTCTTATTCAAGCTGACACGTATAATCAGAAGACACAATGTTATCTTACAATTGACACCTATTTTTCACTCACGAGGCTCATGGTCGCCATTGTATCCGATCAAAATTATTACAATGTCGTTTATGGAGCATCAATGATTGAACTCATTTTAGATGTGTTGGAGCTACTTATGTCGTTGGTTTGCGCTTCCCCGTACCAGGATGTATGTAAAGAAGAATAATGGCTAAACATTTTATGTCTGATTGATCGAACCGCCGAGATTCTCTAAGAGGATATCTTTAGCATCTGCAGAGATGTTGTGCTTTGCATATTAAATTTGCACTGCAAGAAATCTGAAGAAACTTTTCCCATAATATCTGTAGGTTCATATGTTTTTTTGCTAGTAAACAACACTGGTTGTGTGTCGAGGAGCTTTTTGTTAAGTTTTATATGTCTTGTGAAGTTACTTCTTTTTCTAGTAATTCTATAAAGTTTTTTGCTTGATTTTATGATAACAGAGAATACGTTTTTTCAGTTGGTGTTGCGTGCTTGTGTTTTGGATCCATCAGTCACGACACGTGCCGTGAAGTCAGCGTTTACAATATCATGTGAAAATATGTTTGTGGAAATTTTCTTGATAATTCTTGAGAATATAAGTTATGATAGTACTACTGGGAAGGCTATTTTTTGAGATTACCAAGGCGATATGAGGCTTATACGATGATCTACTTGCCAATATCGTCGGCTTTTTTGCTTTTGGTTGGGCACAATGCGCCGGTTTATTGAAGATGATGTCGCCTATTACTGACGGCCATTGTACCTTTCCACCCTGTAGAACCTTGTACAACGCCGCTCGGGCTAATTTTTTGGATACCTCGAAGGCGAATTTAAGTAAAAAATTTTTTTTTTTTTTATATGCGACTATTTCTTTATTTTCTTGTGTCACGATTCCGGCGCCATGGAATGGAGACTCCGAAGGTTCTGTTTTTTTTTTTCCGTTTTTAGTTTGTAAACCCATGACCCTTTTAAGCCGAAAATGCTCTTTATTTGACTCAAAATTGACTGATGTAGACGTTTCAGACATCAGAGAGGCAAAGGAGTTGTTTACAACACTAAATTTATTGCCTATCTTTATTATTACTATTATTGGCGCATCTCTATAATCAAGAATAGTATTTCACTTAATTGAATCAAAATGTATTAAACTGGCGGAGTTATTGGAATGCGTTTCTGAAGAGCATGCCAAAGGCATCTTTTTTTTTCGCAATGGGGAAACAAGGGTTATTTGCGAGATTGAACGACTTCGAATTATTCATACTGATGAAATCACCTATACGAAGTGACATTTCTTTTTTGAAAGTTGATGTAGTGATTGTGAGGGCCTTGCTGAAGCGAATGCTTCAACTACACTGGGAAGTAGCGGAGAGTGATGAATTAAGTATCTATCTTAGATACTGTTCTATGTTCTCTTTTAGTTCTTGTTGCTTCCAGTGGCGAATATGTATGACAGGATGTTTTTTAACTGGAGGACATGAGTCTGATGGGGGAAAAATGTGACAAGCTACAATATGTTTTTTTTGTTAACCTCTGCGTGGAAGTGGATCTTAAATAAGATTAAATTTACAACAAAGTCTATGGTTGCAATTTTTCTTCGTTCATTGAGCTGGAATGAGAGGGCATGACGGAATCGGTGCTCTGGTTGGTTGTGAAGTGTTGTACCTTTTTCTGTATAACAACTGATTGCTCAAAGAAAGAAAATTTGCTTGACATTGGATATGTCGATTGTTTAATTTTTATGTAAACTCAATTAGACGATTGGATTACCACCAAGTCTCGTCCAGGTAATAAACACGCATTTTGATTCACTTCTCTTGACATGGGGGGTTTCTCATAAGGTGGATGGAAATGAGCAACGGTTTGTGTTGTGGTTTATTAAAAACTTATTGCTACACAGAGCTGTTTCAAACGAGGGCTATTTAAAACCCAAGTTGCACATGGGTTTGGTGGATGTCTTCTGTCGGTACACTGATTTCCCATTAGAGTCAATGCGTTTGGAGACAACATCACGACTCCAATCTTTCTGTAATGCGTCAGTATTTTCATTTCACTATCTAGCTCCCTTGTTTCAAAATCCGAAAAATTAGAATATTCACACAACTGGGCATATTTTTCCCTTATCTGGGTACTATATATATATATATATATATATATATTCGG